ATTTTGTTAAACAACTATTAACTCCAAAAACTTAAAGCGATTTGGTTGGGTGTGATTCAATTAAAGTATTTACATTTCAGCACTCATCAAAAGCTTAAGTTATTATTGGGGGTGTAAGTTAAGTATTTATATTTCTAACACATTGAATTTCCAAAAATTCAACATAATGTTGCATAAATTTTTAGTTTGTTTGATCAACGNACTATTAACTCCAAAAACTTAAAGCGATTTGGTTGGGTGTGATTCAATTAAAGTATTTACATTTCAGCACTCATCAAAAGCTTAAGTTATTATTGGGGGTGTAAATTAAGTATTTACATTTCTAACACATTGAATTTCCAAAAATTCAACATAATGTTGCATAAATTTTTAGTTTGTTTGATCAACATAATTATCTAAAATAACAATTTTGTTAGGATTTCGTAATTTTGGTTTGATGTGTATAATTTTATTTCGTAGAGGAAGAGTTTTAGAAGTAGAGAAATTCTTGAACTCGTGGAAAAAAAATTCACTTGCTCAGTTTGATGTTCATATGGATGTATNTGTTGCATAAATTTTTAGTTTGTTTGATCAACATAATTATCTAAAATAACAATTTTGTTAGGATTTCGTAATTTTGGTTTGATGTGTATAATTTTATTTCGTAGAGGAAGAGTTTTTAGAAGTAGAGAAATTCTTGAACTCGTGGAAAAATAATTCACTTGCTCAGTTTGATGTTCATATGGATGTATAACTCAAATAACAATAGTCATTTTTCACAAGTATTCGGAGTAAAAATTACATACATCTTAAAACAACGTGCACATCTAAATTTACTTGTTAACATGTTTATTTGCAAAGATTGCTACTGTTATGTGTTATGGATTGAATATAAATAATGATATTATTGTTGGCCTTTAAGTAGAATAATCAAAAATAGAGGGTCAAATGATATCATTTTTCTACATTAATTTTTTTTAAAAAAAAACCGTTTATTTATACTATGGTTTATATGAATTAGAGTTGTGACGTAGGTTTTCCTATATTCAGTCATTTTTTTATCTTAAATATTTTAATATCTTTGATAAATGAAATAAATTTCTGAGCGTATTATAGAATCAACGTATAATAATAAGTATTTGGTGAATACATAAGCATTTTTAAATGTTTTATAATATTAAATTGATAACCAACAATGATAAAAAAGTAAAAAAAAAAAGTGATAACCAACAATTCTCAAGCCAAACATGATATAAGATTGAATAAGATTCAAGGGTAAATTGATCAATTTATATCAAAGATATTAAATGTTTAACAAAAAAGTGAAATTTGTCCATATCTCAACCATATCATATGCACTATCTAAACTTGGGATTAGATAACACAATTTTCTTTTATCCCATTAATATATCCGGCCTATTAAAATTTCATTGGATTGATTTGAAATTTAAATTCATGGTAGCGGAGTCTACCCATAATTTGCCAAACACACCCCTTGGGTTTGCCAAAGCCATGTCCATGGGTTTAAACATTCAGGTTAAGTACGGATTGGGACTGCAATCCAGGACTTCGAAATTGCATTCAACATATATTTTTTGTTGGTCCATTGGTGGACCATTTTCTCTAAACCCATCATACCAAACACCCT